CTACCCCATGGACTTTTTGCTCTGCTTTTCAGTTTCACTTGTGTTCTCCAGGCAGCCAGCAATAAAAATGCAACTTTGATTGCCTGCAGTAAGAGTTTGTTTATTCTGCAGTTACTATGTTGAGTAGAGTAGGACTGAGTGTTTACTGCAAATGGGTGAACTAAAGCAACTCCTTAAAGTAATCAGAAAAACAATATTTACCCTAAGTTACTCTTTCAAACAACTCACTATGCTCACAATTCTAGTGGCTATTTTTTCCTGAGCACTGGATGGCAAAGAATGAAAGAAGCCCTAGGGGAATAGAAACACTGCTGTGCACACTACAGTCAGCTCGTTAGCCACTAGGCTGTACCTCAGCCCTCATTCCTGATTTTCCCAATTGCACTTTGCAGTAGGGACCCCCAGGACATCGACCCAACCAAGGCCTCAAATTTCTGCACGCACTGTGGACCTCTCCAGTTGCAAAGTGCAGCTGAATTTTTAAAAAATAGAGAACAAGTGTGTCTGCATATTCTGTGTACATAAATACACACATAAATAAAATGATTTGCCAGCCGCAGAAACCTCTTTCTGCGTAGGCACTCTGAAGGGCTGTCAAAAAGGAGATTGCAAAGTCTGGCTTTTCAAGCTGGCTTTCACAAATGGGGTGTGTGTAAATGAAAAGAGCCAAGGGGGACCAAAAACAGTTTGTGATTGCATTGGGGCACACCCAGCTAATGCTACTGGTGGGTGTCTGGGTAAGCCTGGTGAGCATCTTTTGCATTATTGCCAAGCAGCATCCTAGCTGCATCCAGTCAATCTCATGATGGGGTTGCTTGACTGGTTTGGACCTCGCATCATGGGTACAATAACCCCAGATCAACCTGTGGGTTGGCAGAACAGTTTGTTGCCCACAAAGAAGTCACCCTCCAAAAATCAGTCCCAGTTTGAATAGCATCCACAATGGATTGGCATGTTATGCAGTCAGTGTATACAACTCAGCATGAGTTCTTTTCATAGTTTCTGGGCAGAAAAATCAACCCACCAACTAGTAAACATGGAAATCCAATAGTTTTCCACAGTTTATTTGCAACTGCTTAGAAACTCCTTTATACAGCAATCACCTAAAAAGCTGAGAAAACAAGCTTCTCACTAGTTATCTCACAGGACTGTTGTTGTGGGGATAAGACTAAGAACAGCAAGAGGAGAATGATGTAAGTTACTCTGAGTTCTTTAGAAAAGAAAAAGGTGGAACATAAATCTAATAAATAATTAGTTTTAACTTCTTAATTATAGCAAAAATTATTTTCTTTTACACCTTTTCTTAGCTGGTTGTTCATAGCATCCTTAGCATCCTTTTTTTCTTATGAAAGAAAAATATGCCAGTCATTTAATTCCTGGTGTTCATTCTAAATTTTCTCTTATGTTGACCTTTATACACCTCATTATGTCAGTTAATACTTTTTTCTACATGGAGGAAAGGTCACTGCCTTTTCTTTCCCCTAGTTGGCCCCTAATATCCTCTCCACAACTTAGTGGTTGTATGTGGGGGATGGGGAAAGATTGCTGGTTGGCATGATATGCCCCATCCCACAAATCCCCTACCAAGACATGTAGCTGTCCCACCTGACAAGAAAGGCTGGTAATAGAGCTGATCTAAAGTAAGGCCTGTTTTGGCTCCCAATCTCCTTTAAAAATGAACTGTTAGGGTGATAATCAAATTTCAATTATCTCCCTCCAAACTTAATTAGAAAACTGTTCTACCTTCCTAATATGCCCCTGATAATCCATTGCAGTAGGTATCCATGCTTCCTTTTCTGTATCCCTTCCAGGTCATCCCCATGTCAACCATTTTAAATCTAGGCCAGCCTTCACCAAAGGGGTGCTTTCCAGTCATTCTGAACTTTTTACTAGAATCAACAGGCAAAAAGTGACTTAAGCGTGAACAGTTACCAGTGTCCGTCACACGGTATTGACAGCAGCCACAGATGAGCTTAGCTGCTGTGAAAATCCTGCCAGGCTTCTGCTGCAGGTATGAGATCACCAACTACAAGGTGCTGTGAATTCCTCACATCATCCTTGAGATAAGTCCATTTACAGGTGCTGGTGCTGAAGTTAATTGGGCCTTTGCTCACTCTCTTTCCTGCATTTCTCAGGAAGTAGGGCTAACTTGTGTATACAGGCAGCTCTGAAAAAGTGGATGAGACAAACTATAAAAGCAATAGCAAGGGTCATTGTTAGGGTTATGCTTTCCACTTGGAACCAGAAACATGCAAGTATTAAAGTACGTAGTACCCCAGCAGCACCCCCTGAGTAGTGGACATTGGACCTGTGAGGTTCTGTTGGACTAGCTCTGTTATTTATGTTGTTTTTATTGCTGTCCTAATTTTGGTGCTCATATCATTTTAATATTGTAGCTGATTTACTTATATGCATAATGTTTGTATATTTCTATTGTTTTAATTGTTCATGTCTCAATGTTAGAAAAGTGGACGTGACATTTCAGTAAAGCCCTAATCAGCGTCAAATGTAACAAAAGCACTGAAACCTGTGACATGCATACCATACTGCTAAGGCAGTTGGAGTGTTATTAGATCCTGTGCCTAATACTCTACATATTCTACTCTACAAGAGAGCAGAAGTTTTAAGATTACTTATGCGGAACCTGTAACAAAAGGCTTTTCCCCTCAGAAGAGAAGATGAAATCAGTAGCAGTAAATATTTCCCATTTCCCACGTAATCCTCTTCAACAAGTTCTTAAAAAGTACTAACTGGCATTTCCAGATCATATTCTGATAACCTCAAGGTTCTTGATTCTCCAAATTGCCTAATTCTTGGCATACTTTAGTGTGTTTCCTAAGGACCTGGGAAAAGCAACAGCTTCTTTAAACCTTGCAATATATTGTCTATTGGAGGAATCATTGAAGAAGGTATAATAAAGCTAACACAGCACAAATCAGCATATCATATATTATCGCTTCTATGGTTATCAATTTTTGTGATGAAACCAGAGGGAGACATTACTTTTCTATTGCCTTCATTTGGAGAGAGGCTCATGATATTCAATAAACTTTTTATGTGAGTGCTACAGTATTTGCTTATCCCAGCAAGTGTCAGATCACTCGTGGTGGCAGGAAAATCAAGCAACCAGGTATGTCCCATATGTCCAGGTTTCTGCAACTTGCAAAAGTAGGCTCTGTGTTTCAGAGACTTAGCCCATTTCAGTGTAACAGGTCCATTCATAAGCAGTCCTTCTAGTAATTTAGCTATATCTCTTTGAAGTCTTATGGACCTATTGCCCAAGCCTTAAGGCAAACTAGAAGGGATTCTGTTGCTCTTCCTAGGACTCTCAGTCATACCCTTGACTATAGGGGTTTTTTTAAACTATCTTGTGTGACTGATATTAACAGCAACTTGATTTACAGACATTAGCAGATAATGATGTTTATCTCCATGTCATCCATAAAAGCCTTAGCCTACTGATTTATGCACATAATGCTGATTTATTAAGGACACAAGAGCAAACTGCTATTCCATCCTAAGCAATCCCATACTCTACCCATTCCAGAAAAGTTGATATCTTACAAGAACTACAGAATACAGGTTGATCACAAATGAGAGAACAGCGATGTTTTTAAATAGAAAGAGAATAACTCTTTCTTTCATCATTTCAAGAATGTTATATCCCAACTGCCCACTAAAAATAGTAGCAAAGGAGGTACTTGATTTCAAAGAGTGTTTATGTAGCCTACAACAGAATATCAGCTCATGCTTATGTCTATAAAAGCATCGACTATGATTAATCTGTGGTAAAAATTCCCAAGGATCAACAAATTACTGTAAGTAGACTCTTAAACACACTTTAGGATGTAGAACTACCACTATCCTTTCATTTTCCTTTAAACTAAGTGATGATACAGATAGACCAAGCATAGACAATGCATGACTAACAGATGCATCTGGCCTGCCATGGCTTTTCCCCTGGCCGTGATTGCGACTTCATTTCCCCACAGTCACCATCTTGCAGGCTCTCAGCAGGATAGGCATGCATGGCAAAGTAGGCGGGAAATAGTAGAGCAAGACTTAAAGTGACTGGATATGGTCCACGGGCCATATGTTTCCTATCCCTTGTGTAAACAAAATGGAAATTAAGGGCTAAATAATGTACGTTTAAGTGTGCTTGGGAATGCCCCCTTTGGCAATTCTAATTCGTGTTAGTGATTATGATAATAGAACAAGGCCATAGTATTTATTGTAAATTAATTAATCTAGAATAAGAGTGTGATCTTGTTAAAGCCTCATGGGACACTCACATTTGTACAATTTTATGCTACAGATTATTCTGCAAGAAATGTTAATCATCCAATGCTTAGCATGATAGTGTTTTTTTTAAATACCCCCCCAAACATAGAAATACGACAAATACGACAAGCATACACACAGAGACTGAATTGCAATGAAAAGACTAATTTGCCCTTTAGCAAAAGTAGGTGTTACACTGTGGCGTTTCTTTTTAATCAAAGTAGAGCAAGACAGGGAAAAATTAATGTCAACAACATAATTTACAAAAATAGCCCTCCTGCTCTGTTGCTCACAAATATTTTCAAAAAACAGCACTCTGCATGCCAACGCTTTGGCTTGATGTAGTTTACTTTTATGTCATTAACACTCTGTGCCGTAAGCATAACTCAGAACGAGGGATTCCAACTCAAAATGAACCTCAGCTAAGATTCCAGCTCTCAGTTGTGCTGGCATGAAGATTATTCTCTTCAGTGATAAAGAAGACAATATCCTAGGGAGACTGGAATTAGTCCTACTCTGCACCATTCAAGCCAAAACACAAGGCTTATCAAGAAGCAAGTAATTGCTAGCTAGCTAATGGCGATGGGAGATGCACCACACATTCAGACTAAACATATCCTGGCAAATAACTCCGAAAAAAAGTAAGATACAGTTTCATCAAAGGTTTGTTGCTCTCCCCCACCTTTTTTAAGCAAAAGAAAACAAGGCAAGACAATTACCTCTTCAGATTGCGATGGACTGATTCTGGGCATCGGCGATACCTGTGGTGTTTTCAGATGCGTACTATTGCTGTCTGGAATGAGCTCTCTGTGGACTGACTGGATGTGGTTCTGAAGTTCACTTTCTGATTCAAATTTAACATTGCAACTTGAACAGCGCGTCTTCAGCCCTCCTGCTTTGCTTTTGTTCTCAGTGGAACTCAAGTTCTCATTCTGGCCCATGCCTTGTCTATTACTGCTCGAAGGGATGTTGACACTTGGACTACCACTTTTACTGAGATTAACACAGGCAGCGCACAGACCATATGGTAAGCCATTGATGTCAAGTTTCACCAAGTCCTGTTTTGAACGAAATTCCTTCAGGCAAGAAGCACATTTGTATAGTTTCTGAAGATGCTGCACTCGCCCTGTGGTCTGCACCGTGGAACTATTGCCCGTCTTTTGCATATGGAAAGTCCCATGGATCTTCAGCTCCAAAGTAGAAGTCACTGTTTGCATGCATACCACACAACGGAACCCCGTTAAGGAGTTTCGTAAATCAGGGTGCATCTGACAATGCTCCAAAAAATCTTCCTCACTCTGGAGAGGCATTTTGCAGATTCTGCAGTTCCCTGTATCTAGGCTCTTACTATGTGTGACTTTATGTTCAGTGAGAGTCAGAAGAGATGGAAATCTCTCACCACATATAGGACACATATAGTGTTTCACTGGACCCAAGTGAGTCTGCATGTGTTCACGGAGTCCATTTTCTGAGAAGAACGTCCGAGAGCACACATTACACTTGTAGTTCCCTTTAATGAGTTCTGCCTTTTTCTTAACAATGGCACTTTCCCCAGGTCGGATGTTGTGATCCCGAAGCTGGTGGTTTTGCAGAAGAGACTCCATTGTATAGGCTGCCCCACAAATATCACAACCATACATAGGCTCAGAGGTATCGACATCTTCTTCACTGCCATCATGGCTATTGTGCGATTCCTGGCTGTTTGTCAGCAAGGTCTGTAGTTCTACTTCTTCTTTTTGAACTGGCTCAGATGCTCCGTTGGTTCCACAATTGGGAGCTTTTGTTTCAAAAACACAATGCTTTTCCCTCAGGTGTTTTTCCAGCAATATTATAGCATGAAATGCTTTGCTACAAAACTTGCAATTGTATTTTTTGCTGTGTGTTGTAATGTGGCACTGGAGTTCTACCTCAGTACCAAAAGACTCGCCACAAAAAATACACTTGTGCACCTTTCCTTGGTTCTCTAGATGATTGTGTTTAACATGAAGCTGCAGGTCTGTCTCATTGCGGAAATCCCAGTTACAGGATGTACACCTGTACACCTTCTTTTCATTGCTGTGCTTCACTGCCAGGTGAAGCTGAATGGAGACTTTAGAATCAAACACCTCTTGGCACAAAGTGCAGCGAAAGAACACAAAGGTGTGCATATCAAGCAAATGCTTCTGCAGATCATCCACCGAAGTAAACTGTTTATCGCAGCTTTCGCATATGTAGTATGTGGAGGTTATCATGAAATGAATTGTCACATGCTTCAGCAGGGACTCTTGGTTGGGAAACTCCTTGTTGCACTGAGGACAGGTCAGTTTCGGTAGAACAGTGTCAAGATGGGTTTTTAAATGAGTCTGAAAACCATCCAGGGAAGTGTATTTAGCACCACATTGATTGCAAATGTATTCGCCAGCAGGGCGTGAGGGGGCACCACCTACAGCCTGCATCATCTTCAATGAAGTCTGTTCTATAGTCACTGGAGATAAGGGGCTCATAGCTCTAGATTTCTTTCCATTATGGATGTAGTTCAGTGCTAACGGAATGTTCTTATGGTTCTCCTTTATATGCTTATTCAGTTTAAGAACACTATTAAATATTGGAGAATTGGTACAGTAAGAACAAGAATATACTTCCACAACTGGGTCCTTGGGGGTACCTAGTACAGGGGAACCAAAACGGGAACTACTGAGATCACAATGTACTTGTCTAATATGCTCTTCCAAAGAAGAATCAGTAAGAAACCCCATGTAACAATGAGGACAAAAGAATGCATTACTGTCCTTAGCAGCTGGATTTGCAAATCCGTGAGTACATCGAATATGTTCCTGAAGAGTGTTGAGGTCATTGAAAACTTCTGAGCAAAAGTTACACTGGTAGATCATAGCAGGCATAGCAGATACAATCAGTGCAGGATCGGGAGCTTCATGTATTTGCTTAAGATGCTCATTCAGATTGTAAAGTGAAGGTAACACTTCTAAGCAATACTGACAAATATGGGCTTGTTCAGGTTTATCTAAATGCATAGTTTTCAGGTGTATTTGCAGTACAGCAAGGCTGGAAAATAACTGTTTGTTGCAGTAAATGCAACTGTAGGTAACCTTGGCTTGCTTGCTTGAAGGCCCAGTGATATCTGCCACTTGCTGGGCTGCCCGTTTTCTTCCACGGCCTTTTGTTATTGGTGGAGCTGTTTCTACCATAGTTGAGCTGTCCACTGAGAGGTTTGAATCTGGTGTGGTGCTAGATACTGAGGTGTAGCCAACAGTCACTAAAGAGGGGCTGTTGCTGTGGTTGCATGATTCTGGTTGCTGGTGACTATCCATGTGGCTATACAGCTCTTCAACATTATGAAAATTTTCTGAGCAAATACTGCACATATGTTTCTTTTCTGCTCCATTATGAGCCTGCTCCATGTGATTCACAAGTGAACTTTCCTCTACAAAGAGTTCGTGGCAGTAAACACACTGAAGAGCAGCTCGGTCTTCATTCGGAGAACACTCTGGGTGACATTCTGCTATGTGCTTCTGAAGATCTTCAGGAAAGTCAAAGCCTTCTTCACACTGACTGCACTTCTGAGTGTCTTTCATCTTCCACTCCTCCATCCGGGAGGCAGACTGAGAACCATCTTTGTTCCTCTCATGAACTTGCATGTGTCCATGGAGTGAACTAGAAGAGAGGAATCCACGCCGGCAAATGGCACATTTATATGGCTTGTTAGAGGTATGAGTCTTTAAGTGAATTTTAAGGTGATCACTTCTGGAAAATGCTGCGTCACATTCACTGCAGTGGTACTTCTTATCTCCCGTGTGAAGCTTGATGTGGCGATCTCGGCTCCGCTTGTGTTTGAAGAGACGGCTGCAATATGTGCATTTGAAAGGGAGCTTGTCACTGTGACTTTGCTCGTGGTGCTTTAAATAGCTGAGGCGGCTAAATGACTTGTCACAGAACTGGCATGGGTAGGGCAATCCTGGTCCGCCTTCTTCCTCACCAAAGTCACAACCATCTCCATGGCTTGGGGAAGTCTGGTCTTTGCTGGAAGGCGAAGAAGCTGGCCATGAGCAGGAGGGATCATCTTCAATGTCTACTCCATCTGGAAAAAGTAGGAAAAGGGAAACAAATGTTCAAACACTTTTTGTTTAGATTGTACTCGGCAAGTATACATATATATAAAATCAGGATTAAAGTGGCATACATATGCAGTTAAAACATGTGCATGCGCCTTTTTACCCACATTCATCATCTTATAGTCAACACTATTTTAAATAATTTCAAGTAGATAAACTTATAAAACAGATCTGTTTGGCCTTTTATTACTTTTTATTATTCATTGACAACTTTATTAAAATGCAGATTTTAATATATTTAAGTTTTGTTTGTATCTACTATAAAATTATTTGCATGTTATGGGAACATGCAAAGAGCTAACTGAAAAATAAATATTAGAAAAATATTGACAATTAAGAATCACTTACATAATGTTCAATTTTTAAAAAAAAACTAATTTAAATGTCTAACATTGAAAAAAAAAAAGATGTAGGTCCTGAAAGCAGCATGGTTTGCTTGATTATTAAGAATTTTGGTGCTCACATACAACAATTAAAGAAGAAAGCATCAATAAAAGCAGAATGGGTAATTATGTATACAGCACTGGAAAACAAGAATGGTTTCATCTCTCATTTTCTCTAATGCTAATAAATTCAGGGGGTCCAATGCCAATAAATTTTGAAGCAAAATGAGGTCATCAAAAACTAATGATACTGGGTGGACAACTTAGCCCCAAAATACTGCACAAGGAAAGTGTGGTACAGCAGTTAGAGTACTGAACTCGGACCTGAGAGAGCTGGGCTGTAGTCTCCATTCAGCCTCAAAGCTCACTTGGCGACTTTGGCCCAGTCACTTGCTCTCAGCCCAACCCACCTCACAGGGTGGTTGTTGTGAGAATAAAAATGAAGCAGAGGAGAACCTTGTAAACAATCTTGGGTTCCTTGCAAAAGGAAGAAATATGAGAGTCCAAATGTAATTCAAGAATAGTAATAATATTGTTGACCCTAAAAAGTCCAATGGAGACCACTTCCAGGAGCTTTAAATCATATTAAAGGAAAGTTTACACACATTTGTGGGGGAAGGGGGGAATAGAGGCGAAGGGGAATTTGTCTCCTTGAATTTGTAACAGCTTTTGGTCCCATGGAGAAGGTATAAGGACCAGAGGATGAGTGTGCCATGAGGTTAGCAGCTCTTCTTATGATATTCTATGGAGATTTCACTTGACGTTTTGTTTCCCTTCTTCCCGCTACCCCACCTGTGCTATATAGCAATAAAATGTCTGGGTTTGGAGTAGCCTTATTTTAATTATATAGCAGAGCAGATGATTTCAGGAGTGTGGAAAACATAAAGAGTTTTTTCTCGCCTTCCCCACATTCCACCGTTCCCTCCAGTGAATCTTGAATGATACTACAATGTTCCTGGTTTTTGGCTGATTGGATCCCTGAGCTGGAGTACTCATGGTAGGGGTTGCTGTACCCTGTGACTTTTTATTCCAGGTACCCACTTGCACTCAGAATATTTTAGCAACTACCATTAGGCTTCATACATGACTAATAACAGATGGGTGGATATTAGATTAAGCGAGTCAGCCAGGGTTAAGTGAAGAGAGTAAATGTCAACCCCCACCCTCCGCCCTAGAATCCAGCATAGTATTTTGTTCTTCTAAAGTTCAAGAGGTTGCCCACCATTTCTTCCTCTTTGTAAAAACCTTACTGGCTGAACTTCCTTAGTAAAACAGAGTCTGAACATTGAGGTTATGATAGACAAAGCCAGTTGTAAAAAAACTGGAAACAGGAACAAATGACAAATTATTATGGTAAAAGCTGAAAGATTTATGAGTAACAATGACAAGACAAACATGGTCACAAGCTAGATAGTAACCCAAACTGTTTTACTGCTGTACAACTTCGTTTGTAGGATTCGGACTATATAATATTTGTTGATTTCATTTTAGATGGACAATCCTGACCACTTAAGAAAGATAATACCTTGAGGGGGATTAGGGTGCAATGCTATGCATATTTAGATGAAAAAAAAAGTCTGACAATGCCCAACATGCTCCAGGCATGCAGCATTGGACAGAGCCCTGACAGAATAATCCTGTTATCGGTGATGAAGAGATTCCATGGTTGAGCAACCACCCCAGCTCTAGGCAAGTTGCTGTGGTGAAGGGGGCAGGAGGGGCATTTTTCATCATCCTTCCCTTTGACCACGAGGATGGAACAGTCACAGGTCAATTTTGGGTTAGGGTTCACAGCTGCCCTGATGTGCCCTAGTGCCCTGTCTACCACCAGCAATGGAACACTTTTGGCAGGATATCTAGAGACAAAGAGTGTAGTTGGGGCCTCCAGTGGTACAGATGTCATGCCATCAGAGGGACAAACGTTGTCCCTCTCTCCACCTGTGGAACACAAATTACACCTTCTTATGGCTTGTTATCCAGCTACCTGGCAAATATAAGATTGCTCCCTTATTGCTGGATTCAAAAAGAATTCAAAGTTAATTCAACATATGTATATTCATTTCTGTTAAAGCGAATGGTACGAAATCAGCATAAATGCAGGCAGTCCCATTTATCCGATATTTGTTCGGACTGGTAGTTATTCGGAGCTCAGTCCATCAGAAGGCTTGTTGCATAAGCCACTGTAATGAATGGAAGTTGTGCAAAAAGAACTACCCATTCATTCCAATGAGGCTTCAACAGAAAAAGTACCACGAGTATTGATTCTTAATGAAATCACTCTTCTTGGTGTAAAAATCCTTCTATAGAAACAAAGCACTTGACACTTGAGGTAAAACAAAACATTTGATTTTATTTGATATTGTCATAATTTTTATTACAACACAAGCCAGTCAGGATAAAGAAGGTTTGTTGTTGTTTTTTAAATAACTGAATAAACCCTTGGGGAAAGTTTCTGTTCAATGCTTGTTGCAATGTTTGTGTGTGTGTGTGTAGGGGGAGAATTTCTTTAAAAGCAACTTGTGGTACAACACAACAAGCTAGAATTGCTTTACATAAAAACATTCCAAGTCTGCTTTCTTTAAAGTAACAAGATTTTACTAGTTTATGAACCTTTTGCTTATCCACAGGAAACAGATGAGGATTTGTCCCTTTCCTGCATCTCAAAACCGATAACACCATCTCGCTATCAATGCCAGACAGCAACCATCCAACTCTGAGAAAACAAGCAACACCATTCCTGGATCATTGCCCACTGAAACAATGCTTTCAAGTTCAAGTTTGTGTCCTCTTCTTTATTACTCTGAATCAGGCTTTCCACAAATTATGCCTGATTCTTCAACTGTTCCATGCACCTACACACTCATGCACGCACACACACGCACAACAGACAAACTACATGTTACATGCAATTCATTGTGTGCAGCTGACACCCTTCTTTCTTGTTTTGCAGCAAGCATGCAGTGCCCTGACCTAGATCATGAGCAGCACGCACAAGAAAGGGAGTTTAAACCTCTCCTGTCCCACATCTTTTCTGAAATTTGTCACTCCCCAGCAGCTGGGTTACAAGGTAAGATGCCTCACTTAGCATTAACAACAAGAGCTGAGAGACAGTGCAGGCTGGGAAAAGAAGGCAAATTAGAGCTCTGAGGATAAGGACAAGAGGTATAAGGTTTTCACCTTCATTCAGAGCATTAGAGCCACACAGAAAACAACAGCAATATATACAGTAGGTCTTCTGATTTAAAAAAACATAGAGCCTCTTCTTTATCTGGAAAACCCTAATGGGAAAAATATGTTTGCAGTTTTTGTCTATCATGTTTGTAGAAATTTTGTAAGCTGACTTAGCTGGTTCCAGAAAGGCAGTATAAAAATGCAATAAATAAATAATAGTGTAGGTCTCTCTCTCTCTCTCTCTCTCTCTCTCTCTCTCTCTCTCTCAATAAAGTTTCCACTCAACTGCTTTGCTTCTCTCCTTTGCCCCATGCCACCCGCACCCCTTGATAGGTACTCTTCCTTTGGACTGGCTTTTCAGGCGAAAGGACCTTCTTGAAATATTTCCTGCCTGCTGGATTTTAGTCTCTCAGGGCATGAGCTGACAAGACGGAAAGGCCTCCCTTCCCTTCCCTTCCCTTCCCTTCCTAAGTGTTCAGCCAGGAAGGGAGGGGGAGGCCTCCAGGCAAACGGCTGGGCTCCCTGGAGAACTAAGCCCTGAGCATTCCAGGTCCCCTGCCATTTCCACACCACTCCGCCCACAAAAGCTCACTCTTTCACACTCATGTCTTCTATCCTTAAAGTATAAGTGGCAGGAGGAAAAGATTTCAAGCAAAAAGATATTCATGCTCTGTGATGTACACTGAACAGCATCAAACAGCTGGGGCTTAAATGGAACTGCTGTATTTTGTTGAGGTCTAGATGTACGCTGGGTTTTGTTTGAAACATTAAAAGTCAGACAAAATTTCCCCAAACAGACACACACACACACAAAGAATACTTTTTTAAAAAAATTCCCCCCTTTCTAAGCAAAAATTTGCAATGATGGAAATTTACCAGCTCATCCCTGCTGATTTAAACTCCTGGTTTAAATGGTAAGAAGCTATTAAGTACATGTGTTAGGAAAACATTAATATCCCATAATATCCCATAATCATGTATCCACATCAACCTTCCCCAATGTGTTGCCCTCCAGATGTAGCTAGGCTATAATTCCCATAATCCCACAGCTGCTTAATGTTTGTCAAAATGTCACTTCACTGTTTCAAAAATAATAATAAATGAATGGCTTCTTGACAACAAATATATATATTGTTTGCTTCCCTTGATCCTAACATAGAGTACAATCCTATGCATGTTTACTAAAATGTTTAGCATAAAGAATTCTTGTAGCTTGTGCTATATAATAGCTCTCAATAACAGGTACATGTTGCATGTTTTTAACATATAAATTATCTATGTTGTAACAGAAACAACTTTTTGGTGCGAGAAATAGAGTTTGCAACCCCTTGTGATCTCCCTTTAAATTTACTTGATGGTCATGTTGCAGATACACAGCATATTGCTGAATAAATATATGTCTGTTCTCCATA